AACACAACACGCAAACACTAGGCGGAAAAATGGGAACTTTGTTCTGCCTGCTGTTCGTGTCGTGCTTTCTTCTCTTTCAAGAAGCATTACATGTGGCCCCCCACGCAGGGATCTCACTGAGATCTCAACACATGTCCCTCCTCCACTGGAAAGCTACGATTGTGAGCCCACGGCTGATGAGCTCTTGGCAGGAAAACACTAGCCCATACATCTGGACGGGCATCATGTGTTGTAACATCCCAATTTTTAATTTAGATGTTATACATAGATCATCATATGCATATTATATTTATTTTTTCATTTTGTTGTGATCTTAGAAATCTTAAGCAACTCAAGGAACCCAGGAGAGAGTTAAAGGTTTCACAAAATTCATATTTGAGTTTATTTCAAATTTGAAGAGAGGATCAATTCGATTTTATTATTTTTCTCTCCAATTATTTCCAATAAAAAACTATATGAGAGAAGATAATATGAGTTCTTCAACCCAAGAGAAATACTGGAGAAAGAATTTTAAAATCAAATTATTATTTTTATTGGTATTTTAATTGCTATTTTATTTGAATTAAAAAATATTGCATTTTTAAAAATTGCATATTAGTCCAGAAAAATGTTCATCTTGTCCTAAATATTAGGTTTTGATGGTGAAATTTTTTTCCGGAATTTTTTAGAATTTTTTATATTTAATTAGGATTTTTCCTTTGCGGCGAAATATTTTTTAAAAACAAATTACGGACCGACTAGGCCGAAACCCAGCCAGCCCAACGCGCGCGCACCGCCTCCCATCGCCGCAGCCGTGCGGGTGCCGGACTCCCGCCGGGGTCCGGGTCGGCCTCGACTTCCGCACCCCCTCGCGCAAGCAGGAGCCCCCCCTGCGGATCTTAAATAGCGCCGCCACCTCGCCGTCTCTCCCCACCTCGCCCCGCAGCCACCACCGCTGCAGCCACCACCGCCGTTCGTCGATGCTGTCGTAGTACGCCGCCGCCGCCGCCTGCTGCCGCAGCTGCTGCACGCCGCCACCGCTCTCCACAGCCGTCGTCGCCACTGCCCCGCCTCCCACAGCCCCACGCCGCCCGCCGCCGCCGCCTACCAGTCTTTTTCGTTTAACTGCTACAACCGCTGAACCATCCCGATTTTATTTCTGGCTTTTCTTTCATTTTTAGGGTTAGATTGGTTTATTTATTAGGTTGTTTAAATAACGAACATTCGTTCGTTTAGATCGTTTAACAAACAGTTTTCGTCGGATTAGTTCTGTTAGCGAACGTTCACACAGTAGTTTTTTCTTTTTAGTTTATTTCCGGCCAGAGACCTATCCGCGAATAGTTTTCTCACGATTTAATCCTGATCTTAAAACTAGCGTAACTTTTTACTCGTTTGTTCAAATTAGATGAAACCAGCACCTAAATCTTCGTATCATTCTGTTCTTTCCAGTTAACCAACTTGAACATGATTTTGACACTGTAAAATTTGAGTTTAGTTCAGATTAGTAAACGATCTTGTTTCGTTCGTATTTTGAAGTTTCGTTTCTGCGTTTGAGTTGTTTCTTTTTGTAAATCATAGCTAATCACTTGTACCTATTGTTAAGATCTAATCCACATGATAATAATGCTTTAATTTTTACTTTTTGATAGTCTAAGCCATTTGCTTGTTTCGGGTTTGATGTGGATCTTTTCTCGGTTTTCTTGTTGTTTCGTTTGTGTGATTGCTTATGTATGTTATTGTTTGTCTATGCTAGATTACCCGGAGTGTGAAGCTTGTTACTACAAATCTCTAGAGTTTGCAGATCGTCAGCAAGTCAAGTTACAATTTGATCATACTTTTCTATACCTAGTTTTTACTATGCATTAGTATTAGAGGCGGAGACCCAACGATTTTTTCTGGCCGTGTATAGTACCACAGGTACGTACATGCCGTGACCCTAATAAAAAATAAGTGCTGACCCCATCAACTAAAAATGCAACGCTCGACGCAAAGCCCAAAAGCCCACAAGTGAACTACCGCCGAGAGATAAGCCTGTTAATAGCTTCGTGATCTGGTCTTCCTATTCTCATGTATGTGCATACAGCCGCCGTCTGACCTTTTGCCCTTGTTTGCTTCCTCGACTCTGTGATCTGATCTCTCCGCTTTGGTATCATCGATGGTCACTACTCAAGACACCAGTGACAAGCCGACACCAGCAGGTCGACGCCGGCAAGTCAACTATTATAGTTCAAATTCAAGGTATTGAGATCACATCTCACATCTCCTTTTTGTTGCACATGCCCTAGTTTCCTAATAGCTTATTCCACGCACTTTGATTGATATAGCTTATCAAACAGAG